TTGTTTCTATCCCCTCATTTGCCTTTTGTACTTTCCTTCCATGGGAATCCCTTCCCTGGTTTGGGTTGACCTCCTTATGAAGCCCTGCTGAGCAAATGCCCTGGGACGGCCTAATCCCAACCCAGCATTTTCTAATGGGATGTTTGTCAGGAGTTTTCTTTGATCCTCTCCAGTCCCACTGGCTTCCCTGCAGCCTGCCTGTGTCAGGGTTCCTCACTCTGGGCTTCAGGATTTCCCACAGAGGTCTTCCTCGAGCATCTTAGTATCCTTTGTGAGTATTTTATTTACTGAAGTTTTGCAATGTGGTCAGCATTGGTTCTGTTTCTGCAACCAAAGATGCCATAGCTTTATGGATTTTTTTTTTAAGAATAGGAGCGGTGATGGAGCCCAATATGTGTCTATATTCCAGTGAAGAAAAGAGCAACCAAGATGATTAGGGGACTGGAGGCTAAAACATACAATGAATGGTTGCAGGGACTGGGCTTGGCTAGTCTAGTGAAGAGAAGGACCAGGGGAGACATGATAGCAGTCTTCCAATATTTGAGGGCTTGCCACAGAGAGGAGGGAGTCAAGCTATTTTCTAAAGCACCCGAAAGCCAGACAAGGAATAATGGATGGAAACTGACCAAGGAGAGATTCAACCTAGAAATAAGGAGGAACTTTCTGACAGTGAGAACTATCAACCAATGGAACAGAAGTTGCCTTCAGAAGTTGTGGGAGCTTCATCCCTGGAAGCTTTCAAGAAGAGACTGGACTGCCATCTATCAGAAATGGTGTAGGGTCTCCTGCTTGGATGTGTGTGGAGGGGAGGGGTGGTTGGATGGATTAGATGACCTACAAGGTCCCTTCCAACTCTGTTATTCTATTCTATGCCAGTGAAAAAACTGTGCAGAAGTTCAAGTCATTATGTACTGTTTCTATTGAGTTAGACTATTTATCTACTGGCTGAATAATATCCATGGCAGAAGTCTTCCCCATGGCTGTATCTCAGTTTGTTTTCAAGGTAGATTCCAGGCAGTAAATACAGCTGCTTCTGCATTCAAAGCATTTGCACCATCCCAGCAATGATTTGACCACCTGAGTCCAATGTAGGCTTTCTTTAGAAGTGTGGCACCAGCTTAATGAGACTTGCTTTATTGTAGAGTAGACTGAAGAATCAGTGGTATCTTCCAGATGTACATATTTCCATCTTGATCTAAAGTTTTATTGACAGACAACTTGGAAAAGCCATCCTGTACTTCTGCCCATTTCAAAAGCTTCTCAGGTGCCATAGGAGTGTGGTTTTGTCCCTACTGTAGTTAGGCCAGTGTAGTTAGTGATGTGTAACTCTTCCACAGGTGACTGGATTTGCATATTGCATTAGATACAATGCACCTTGATTGGTTTAGACTTAATGTGGTGTGTAAACCCAGCCCGTTTAATTTCTATAATGTAATCTATGATTTAATGTGCTATGCATTTGGTTCATTATGGATCTCTAGAACAAACACAGGATAATGAACACATATGAATTCAGATTGAGCCATTGTTGCTGCTTATTGTTGTTATTTTGGTTGCATTGTATAAAGGAATTGGTTTTTTTAGTTATTTAATGACAAAGTATTAATTATGTGTAACATTCTGAGAGAAGGCAATGAAATAACCTTCCTCATTATCCAAAATAAATATTTCAAAAATGTGTGAATAGGGGAAGAGAAGCAAAGCTGTCAGATAAATTATATAAGCAACATTGCATGACTACAAAGCACATTTCCTTTTCTTTATAGTTTATTTGTCTTTCAGACCTTGTCATAAAATGTTCCAAGAATGTACTACTTTCATTTTAGCCACTGCCAACAGTGAAACCAATCTATACTGTTCAATGTGACTCTGGGAGAGAAAAAAACCACAATAAGATAATCATTTATATTTTTTGGCATTGACGACTTCCTTATTTTGTTTTTAAAGAGGGCATTATTATGATTATACGCAACAAAGTGAAACCATAACTGCCAATTCTTTAGCTGGGATTGCCATCAAGTTTTTCCCAGGAATGCAGTAATATATCTACATAGTATAAGTGAAGATTCAAGTGTTCCATTAATTTTCCATTATTATGGTTCATAGTCAGACAGATGTTCAAACTGGATTTGGAATTTTTATCCAACCAATAAACGAGTCTTTCCAATGGACTTGGCAGATGTTGTTTGATGGTGTTATCATCACAGGATGTAAGCTATTCCAAGTGGAGCTGCCTTTTGCAATTGACTGGTGGTGATATTGTCCATGATGCTGGTATTCAAGTGGTGCTCTAAATGTTTTGGGATTGCACCCAGGGTTCCTATTACTGTTGGTACTGTCTTTGCTTTCTTTTGCTGCAGTCCAGTGGTGGGATTCAAATTTTTTTACTACCGGTTCTATCGGTGTGGCTTGGTGGGTATGGCGAGGGAAGGATACTGTAAAATCTCCAGTCAGAGGTGGTATTTGCCGATTCTCCGAACTACTCTAATTTTCCACTACTGGTTCTCCAGAACTGGTCAGAACCTGCTGAATACCACCTTTGCCGCAGTTGTTCTATTTCTATTTGTAGGTCTTCGTAGTTTGTGATTTTTATCCCATTCTTTTTCTTCTACTCTATTGTCTCCTGGTATTGCGACATTCACTATCCAGGCATTATTATTATTATTTATCATTATTATGGGGACAAACACAAACGTTCAAACAACTAGTTAGGCAAAAGAAGATAAAAACTTGACTATGTATAGAGAAGTTTCCTATTTTTCACACTTGATGTCAGCCCTTCAAGGTAAATTAGAAAAGTTATGAATGCTAATATAATTTTAATTATGATATAATAACAGAGTTTTTCAAGTCTGAAGACTTCCCCTCTCCCTCCCTTTATCTTCATAAGCAAAAAGGAGGGTTACATTTTGAATGCTTTCTCAAATTATATTTCTCCCTCAGACTAAAATTGCTTTTATCTGAGCATTGTCTCGCTTATAGCTCTTCCATGTTCTTCCATGTTCTTCCCTCTGCCCTTTATACTTCTTATCTGTGTTTAACTAGTAGGGCTTGAAGAGAAATAATGACAGAACACTTTCCTAGGGCATAGAAGGGTTCAGATAAAAGTAGGGAAGACTTCTCATTGAGGCTTTGTAGAAGTATAATAAGACTGCCAGATATGGTCTGCAAGAATCCAAGCAACCCCTGGATGGCAGCCAAGAGCTGCAATTCTCTGTATCTCTTTTGCTACCATCTAGTGAAAGAGTCCATCCTTGGAAGTCAAGATATGGGAGCTCCCTAAGACAGCCCCTTTTAATGCTACTCAAGGACTGATGAGACACCAAGGGATGAAAGTTGCTGGGCTGACATTCTATTAGCTTTATTCAGCTCTTTTAAATTTTTCTACCTCAACAGACTTTAGATAAATAATGAGGAAAAAATGAGGAAAAACACCAGGAAAATATAGGAGGATTGCAAATTGGAGTTAGTGCGGTTTTCCCAACTTTGTGTTAAATTGCAAGGAATGAATGATCAAAGTCATTCAGTTCCACTCAGGTAAGCTGACATCCCATTGTGTCCAACCTCTGATGGATGTCTCTGATGGATGTGCAGGCCAAGCTATCTAGAAAGCATCAGGATCGGAAAGGTGAATGCATACAAAAAAGTAAATTTCAGCAACTCATTAGGAGCTATGGTGGCGCAGTGGTTCGAGCAGTATTGCTTACTAACTCTTGTATACCAGTGCCAGGAGCTCAATGCTGATCAGCTCAAGGTTGACTCAGCCTTCCATCCATCCCAGATGGGTAAAATGAGGACCTAGATTATTGGAGGCAATATGCTCACTCTCTAAATTGCTTAGAGAGCTGTAAAACACTACGAAGCGATATATAAGTCTAAGTGCTATTGCTATTATGAATGTGTTCATATAATGCTTTGTTGGAATGCAGTTTGCTTGGTGAGCATGCTATGTTAGTAATAAGTACTAAGTACTAAAGAGAAATTTCCTGATGGTTAGAACAATTAATCGGTGGAACAGCTTGTCTCCAGATGTGGGTGCTCCATCACTGGAGGTTTTTAAGAAGAGGCTAGAAAGCCATTTTTCCAATGGTATGGGGTGTCCTGCCTGAGCAGAAGATTGGACTAGAAGACCTCCAAAATGTCTTCCCTCTCCATTTCATTTCATTTCATTTCATTTCATTTCAATTTATTTATTTATTTTATTTTATATTTTATTTTATTTTATTATTTTATTTTATTTATTTTTTATTTATTTGATTTGTCAATCGCTTAAGATAATAGGTATAAGAATAAACATAGTTATGAATACATGAAATGGATACATATAAGAAAAATAAAAAGAAACAATAGGACAGGGACGGTAGGCACGTTGGTGCGCTTATGCACGCCCCCTACAGACCTCTTAGGAAAGGGGTGAGGTCAATAGTAGACAGTCTAAGGTTAAAGTTTTTGGGGTTTGGGGAAGAAACCACAGAGTCAGATAGAGTATTCCAGACATTGACCACTCTGTTGCTGAAGTCGTATTTCCTGCAATCAAGTTTGGTGCGGTTAACCTTGAGTTTGTATCTATTGTGTGCTCTTGTATTGTTATGATTGAAGCTGAAGTATTCATTGACAGGTAGGACATTGCAATGTATGATTTTATATACTATATTTAGATCAGACTGAAGACGGCGTAGTTCTAGGTTTTCTAGGTCTAGAATTTCAAGTCTGGTGGCATAAGGTATTCTGCAACAAGTAGAGGAGTGGAGAACTCTTCTTGTGAAATATTTCTGGACTTTCTCAACTGTGTTAATATCAGATACGTAATGTGGGTTCCAGACTGATGAGCTGTATTTGAGTATTGGTCTAGCAAATGTTTTGTCCAATTAAGTGTGGTTAATCCATTCAGTCATTGTTCGGCAAACATTGTGTAATCTCAGGCTTTACCTACTAACAGGGTTCACCTATGGTTTTCTATCTCCTTTTCTTTCTCCCAGGAGCTGGGTTGGAGTGCAAAGATGACAGCAATGGTGAGTTTTAATTCCCTTTTAACTCCCTACTCTCAAGTTCTCACTGGGGATAGCTGTTGGGAAACATGCCAGATTCAAACATTCTCTTCAGCAGACTTGGCTCTTGGGTCACACAACACACTAAACCCCAAAGCAACAACCCTATTTTGTTCTGACATGTCCTTTATTAAGTCCAGCCTGTGTAGTTGTAGGTGCTCCATCACTGGAGGTTTTCAAGAAGAGACTGAGTGGCCACTTGTCCGGAATGGCATCGAGTCTCCTACTTGGGTAGGGGGTTTATTTATTTATTAAATTTATTTGCTGCCCATCTTATATAAAAATGAATCTGGGCAGGTTGGAATAGAAGACCTCCAAGGTCCCTTCCAACTCTGTCACTGTGTTCCAGCTATTTTCCTGTTTTCCTTGCTGTGTAAATCCAGCAAATCAGGCCAAATGAACTTCATTATGGTTCAGTAGTTAAATATGGGAAAATATATGCAAACCTAGCCAAGGTGTCTCTACCTAAAACTAAAGCATGAATTGCCTCCATTAAGCAAGTTAGGCTAAAATGCAGTTGTGCATTTTAGTGCTGCATGAACTTGCAGCCAAAAGGATTCCCAATCTCTCCTGCTGTTTCTAGCCTGAATCTTTCCTCCCTTTGCAATATCCCAAAGTGTTGACTGAGGTTTTACATGATCAAGGCAGAAGATGCTATTTTCATCTTGCAATTTCATTCTCAGACTGGCACCTTCAGGCCTCTTTCTGAAGAGGAGCAGGCTTTGCGGACTAAACTTGAGCGACTGAGCACCAGTGACCATGGTCCTGTGTTTGGGAAGCATGAGAAGATCCCCGCACACACACTGCAGAAGGTGAGCATCGTGGAAAATTGGGGAGAACAACAGAAGCAGGAACCCAAGGACCATTTGAATATGCCCAAGATAGCCAAGAAAAACATTTAGCACAGATCCATTGGCCAGCTGGCATTGCCACCCATTTTTATCCTGATCAGATGTCCTGCTTTAGAGAGGACTGTAAAATATATTTGGCTTCAAGTTCCTTGTGAAATTTTGCATGTCACTCAGACCTTTTAATCTACGATCAGCTACCTAACATTGATCATTCTATTCATTTTAAGAGCTGCAACCATTTACTTCACAGCCTTGGCCACCTAATCCTAAAATCTTGTAATGTTAAACCAAGCCTAGGTGATAGAGAGAAGTATAATTACTATCAGCCACTAGATGGCACCAAACTCCAAAAAATAGGGCAACGTTAATTACAGTATTGTAAGCTTCAACTCAAAACTGTTGACTCTACTTGGATGTCAGTTCACTCTAGTTCAAAATGTTGGTTTGATTCACAACCACTCTTGATATAGAAGAGGAACCATTAGTTTTAAAGGATAATTCCCCACGTGTTTAAAAACGTTCCTTGTTACATATAAATAACAGTTACAATTTGGTTTCCACATATTAGGAAGGACTCTGATCCTTCATCCAGATTTCAGGTTGTTACCATATTTGGGGGGGGGGGGATACCTTTTGCTAGAAAGGGTTCCCCCAGTTACTGATGAAAGAACTACAGGCAGTACTGGACTTAAAACCACAACTGAGACCTGAATTTCCATTGCTAAGGAAGTTAGTGGTGCCCAATTTCTCAGCCTTTTCTGCCACAGTTGTTAAACAAATCACTGCAATTGTTAAGTGAATCACAAATCATAGAGTGAATCCAGATGGAGGTGTGGTAGCTCAATGGTTTGATGATGCTGGAGATGATCTCTGCTTCAGCGGTTCAATTCCTAGCATTGCTCCTGTCAACTCGCCTCAGCTTCTGTCCACCTAACAGTTTGAAAGCATGTTCTATGCGAGTAGATAAAGAGGTACCATTTCAGTGGGGAGACAAGTTGGTGTTCTGTGCAGGCAGTCAGATTTCTGCTGGCTCTGAACCTTCCTGGTTGCAGCGCCTGTTTGTGTGGTGGCTCCAGGAACTGAAGGAGTCTTGGATGATGCTGTAGGAAGAGCTGCTTGTATTTCTTTCTGGTGCAAAACCAGCTCGCCATCCCATGATACACCTTAGCGTGCAAGTATTTCCAACAACAGGGATGGTACCTTGGCAGCCAAATTACTACTCTGCAACAGCATTGTGGTCTCCTGGCTAATGCAACAATGCCATATGCTAATGATAATAATAATAATAAATGAATCCTGAATTTCCCCATTGACTTTGTTTGTTGGAAGCCATCTGGGAAGGTCACAAATGATGATCACATGATCTTGAGACATTGCAACCACTGTAAATACTTGCTGGTTGCCAAGTGCCCACACTTTTGTCAAATGGGGATACTACAACAGTTGTAAGTGCAAGGACTGGCCATAAATCACACTTTTCAGTGTCTTATATCTTTGAACAGTCCACTAAATGAATGGTTGTAAGTTGAGGATTGCCTGTACTTTTCCAGGAAAATTAGAAATTCCAGTATGATCCTCCAACTCATTGTCTATTTATCATCTTTGCCTCTCATCCCTAGGCTAAAGATGAATTGAACGAGACCTCAGAGAAACGTGAATTAGCAATCAAAGAGCTTCAGGAGCTTATCCAGGAGAAAGCTAAAGATGGAGACGACATTTGCAAAGCGGTTTCTGAGAAAATGCAGGGGAAGGATGAAGCTTTCCTCCTTCGTTTCATACGTGCCCGCAAGTTTGATATCAACAGAGCTTATGATTTGATTAAAGGTCAGGATTCTTCCATTGGACCTTTCCTTCCAGACATGCAGTTCCATAACTATCACTCTTTGTGGGTTGAAGTTTATTCACTTACTGATTTCAATGATTTTTGCCGCTGTCTAGCTCATAGCTTGGGTGGTGTGACGCTCAGTGGGTTCGAAACCCAAGTGCTGTACGATGGGGTGAGTCCCATTCTTCTCTAACTCCTGCCCACCTAGCAGTTTGAAGGCATGCAAATGTGTGTAGATAAATAGGTACCACTTTGGTTTGGAAGTAACAGTGCTCCATGACATCATGCTGGCCACATGACTGCAAAAATGTCTTTGGACAGTGTTGGCTCAGCAGCCCTTAAAACAGAGATGAAAGCTGCACCTTAGAGTTGGTTATGACTAGTGGAATAAAATCCGCAGGGATTTCTTTCCTTTCCTACTCACAGCAGTGTATGAAGATTAAAAGCAGCACAATAATATACATTCATGATTTTATGCTTAAACAACAACCCCGAAAAGAAAGCTGTACCACCAACAGAGCTAAGCTAATTGCCTGAGCCAAAAATCTAGAGGAACAGACCAGTCTTCTGAGTTTTATTAAAAAAAAGTTAAAAGGTTCAAAGACCACCAGGATTTCTGGGGAATGATGTTTTATAAGGCAATTACATAATTGCACAGCTCTGGGGTTCCAACAAGATGGCATTGTGGTTTTTCCCCCCTCCCTCTTCAAATAATTTTATTACAATTTACAAAGCATAAACACATAAAAAATAACATAAACTAACACTCAATGGAAATTGTAAAGAGTAAAAAGAGAATAGGGATAGAAGTGTGAAAAATATAAAGAAATGGAAAGGAAAACACCAATATATATAAAGAATGACTTTTGACTTCTTCCTCCAAGAACAGTAAAGAATGTTTACATTCAATTCTTTGTTTAAGACTATAATAAAATGTCAATTTCCCCCCCCCCTTTTTAAAATTTAACAATCAACAAATCCATATGGCAAATTTTGATTTCCCCCCCCTCTATCTCCTTCAAAAAGTCCACAAAGGGTTTCCAATTACAGATGAATTTCTTCAGTGATTTTTCTGTCACGAAGGCCCTTAACTTGGCCATCATTGCCAATTCTGCCATCTTTATTAACCATTCCTCTGTTGGGGAGTTCCTGTATTGTGGAACATGACCATATCAAGATGGCGTTGTTTGATGGACAGAACCTGGAGCCTGCCTTCCCTGCTAGATCTGGTGGGATGAGCAGAAACAGTGGAGGGCAGGTGACACCCGCAAGAGCTTGGTCCTATGCCATGTAAAACATAGGTGACAACCAGAACCTTGAATTGGATTTGGAAGCCTACGGGGATGAGTTATATTACTTGGTCACCATGATGTAAAAAAGATGTTCGGACTCTAGAAAGACTGCAGAGAAGAACAACAAAGATGATTAGAGGACTAGAGGATAAAACTTAAAGAGAATGATTGCTAGAACGGGATATGTCTAGTCTGATGAAAAGAAGGACTAGGGGAGACATGATAGACGTCTTCCAATATTTCAGGGGTTGCTGAAAAGAAGAGGAAGCCAAGCCATTCTCCAAAGCACCCGAGGATAGGACAAGAAGCAACTGGTGGAAACTAAGCAAGGAGAGAAGCAACTTATAACTGAAGAGAAATTTCCTGACAGTTAGAACTTGGAACAACTAACCAATGAAACAATTTGCCCCCAGAAGGTGTGAATGTTTCAACACTGGAAGTTTTTAAGAAGAGATTGGACAACCATTTGTCTGAAATGGTATAGGATTTCCTGCCTGAGCAGGGGTTGGACTAGAAGACCTCGAAGGTCCCTTCCAACTCTATTATTACTCTATTTCTACTCAAATTGCGGGTAGTAGCATTATCAGAACAGAATAGATCAGAATAAAAGAGTTGGAAGGGACCTTGAAGGTCTTCTAGTCCAACACCTGCTCAAGCAAGAGACCCTATACCATTTCAGACAAGTAGCTGTCCAGTCTCTTCTTAAAAGCTGCCAGTTTAATAGTTCCACCACCTCCATTAGTAATAGATGTCATTACTATTTGTCTACTTGCCAGCTAATGGGTTTCAGATTTTTGAGATGGAATGCAGAGGAGTTCTGTTTGCACTTACTTTGAATGTCGGTTGAAGCATCTGTACAAACTGGAATCTGGATAGAAGCAAGTCTCTTGCTCAGAAAGGTTCTTCTATTCACACTCAAGTCCATGTGTGTAACATTACATTTTTTATGCATCCGGGTTATGAATTTTAAAAGACTATTGTTGTGCCCTTGGCTTCCTTCAAATTAAAATGGGTAATTTCTATATCACAACAAAAGTGTTGGGTTTACTGAGTTATTGATTGGAGTTGATGAACTTATCGTTCAAAACATGCAACTCTTAACTGAAAAAAAAACCTGCCTCTGGCACCAGTTCCACCTTGGAGACATCATGTTTTAATTTGATTGTTGAGCTGTTGGTTCATGTAACTAGCGTCTCTAATGTGGCCCTGTTAGAGCTTCTATCCCTAACTCCAGGTTACGTCAACTTCCGTCAGCAGTATCCAGAACTCTTTGAAAATCTGGTACCTGAGGCAGTACGGAGTACCATTGAGGCTGGCTACCCTGGCATTTTGTGCAACAGGGATAAATACGGTCGGGTCGTACTGCTGTTCAACATAGAGAACTGGGATTATGAAGAGATCACATTTGATGAGGTTGGTATTGTTTGGTAAAGGTGTTTACCTTTTTGTAAGTTTTTTTCTAAATCTTCAACAATCATAGTTCCCCCTAAAGCAGGGAAAGCACTGTGGTCCTCCAGAGGTGGCTGAACAGCAATTTATTTATTGAATTTATTTACTGAATTTATATTGCCACCTATCTGCCCATGGAGACTTGAGACAGCTTACAGAATGTAAACCCAAAATTGCCAATATTTCTCATCTTTGGCAAGGCAACATCTAGAATGGAAAACATCTGGGTGCAAACTGCAAACAGAGAAGGGAGATGACATGTAGCTTGCCTGCTTTGTAATGAAAGAACTTCCACCCTTCTTCAGTTTTCAAGATTTTTGTTTATTCTCTTCTTCTTAGGTGGGGTAGTTATTCATTTACTTAGCAAGAACTTCTCTAGCTTGGACCAGAAAGTTTACATCAGTCAAAAGACAGGAGACTGTCTTTTAGGGATCATTGAATGAAATTACTTTGTTTGGAATAAGCCACATGATGTCTTATCAGTTTTGATAGATGAATCTCTAGTGGATTAGATGAAAGTCATATCTAGCCGGGTCAGGTATATCTGTAGCCAGCCAGAAATCAATTCCCTCAGGAAGGAAATCCAGAAGCAGAACAAGCAAAATCAATTCACCAGTGTTTGGTATTCAGAAATGTACGACAATAGAATTAAGTAGCTGGGTTCACACACTGCACTACACTATAGTTTGCTTATTTTTGTAGAAGTAGCACATCTGGGCTGGAAACATCTGAAAGAACCTAAAACAGAGTTAATGCTTTCAGTACCTCTTTGCTGTTGTCTCATGGTCCTTTGGACCTTTGGAGTTTTGCAGCCCATATCCAATAATTTTGATTTAGGGCTTAGTATTAGATGAACTGAACTAACTGTGCTTTGGAAACCAATTGATGGATTAGTGTATTATAATAACTCAATTAATTGTCCCCTGCTAAAACTTTATTAAAATTAAATAAGCTTACTTTGATGAAGGAATCCATCCCACATATAACCATCACAACTTGCGGCCTCTGATTTTAGCCTCCATTTGACCAGGCAAAGCAGACACCGATATTAGAAAGTCAAGTGTTTATAATGACAGAATAGTTTGCACAACACACTAATCCACAGTTTATTTTAATCATGGTTTGTTTAAGGAAACATATTTGGTTGAGGAGTTTACCCATTATGCTATGCTAGGAACCATGGTTTCCAAACAACAGCAGCTGGATTCATACAATCTATGCATAATCAAACAAGTTTCATTATATCTTTGCATGATGTGTAAATCCAATCCTATTGGTAGATGAGAATATTTGTAGCTCAAGATTGAACCATTGTTTTCTTGCAGATGTTTCATTACCCAAACTACATAACACCATCAGCACTGATAATGTTACTTAGTTTGGTAATGAAACATCTGCAAGAAAACAACTAAGCTCAGAGAGCCCCAATGACCCCACAAATCCAATCCTATCTTCTTGGATGATGATTACTACTTTACTTGCATCACTAGCAGAACCAATGCAAAGTTTTATGGCTGGTGTTTCAAAGCCAATGTGGTAAGAGGAAGGTCCACGAATGTGTTGGAGCCTGAGCTGCTACCCTCCAATGGTTTTACTACAGATCCTCCGTGCCTACTGCGTGATCTTGGAGAAGTTGCTAGAGAACGAGGAAACTCAAATCAATGGCTTCTGTATCGTTGAAAACTTCAAAGGATTCACCATGCAGCAAGCCTACGGTATCAAGCCTTCTGAATTGAAAAAAATGGTGGACATGCTACAGGTGAGGCTGATCTACTTGCCTGCAGAGATGGAACAACATCTGGAAATTGCCCTAAATTAAGACAATCATGCTAGAATATATGGGATAGCAGTACAAAATGGCGCCCTAGGGAAGGATCTCAAATATAAATCTCAAATATAGCACATGTTGAAGTCAATGGACTTCTGCAATATTCTTTGCCATCTAATGGGGCTGCAGGAAATCCTCTGGGTCAGGATTTACAATAACTCAGTTGCTTGTATGTAAATAATAGGAGTATGCACTATGCAGATCTTTGCAGTTTTGCTTTAATCAGGTTGCATTGTTTAGTTTGCTCTTTTACACCCTTGATTAATGGCTGCAGTCATGGAAACCCCAAGGTGGTGAGATTTAGCTGTAAAGACCCAGTTAATAATCCCACTCCATCAATCATGTTAAGAAAATCGTTAAATCTGAGCTAATTTATTTCAGTCCACTTAGTCTTCCAAAGTCTTTCCATGCCTGAATTGTGAGATGGGTGTCAAATATATTTGGTATATAAATAAAAATAAATATTATAGAACTGTCTGTCCAGGACTGGCAGCACAGAGAACTCTTCCCAAACACTCTCTTACAGTTATCAAACCAGAGACCTGGCTTAAAAAGACCCAGTTAATTTTTAGATGATAGGACAGAGATGTTGCTACCATCTAGATAAGAGCTGTGGTGGGGCAGTGATTACAATGCTGTATTGCAGGCTAACTCTGCCAATTGCCAGCAGTTCGATCCCGACCAACTCAAGGTTGATTCAGCTTTCCATCCTCCTGAGGGCGGTAAAACAGGGATCCAGATTGTTGGGGGTTGACTCTGTAAACTGCTTAGAGAAGGCTGTAAAGCACTATAAAGTGGTATATAAGTGCTATTGCTATTGTTGTAAGTTAGACCTGGTGATCTTAGCCTTGCCAGGACTCTCTTACAAAATATAAGGACTTTTGCAGCTAGAAATGGACACAAGGGGGTGGAGATGACAAATCGTTCCTTTTTGATGCAGTTGCTTAGACTGTGCACTGATGGAATCATCAATAGGGAGGTTTGACTGTTTAGTGGATGAGGTCTTGTGTGAACACGGCTAAGAAGAAATCTAGGTTTCTGGATAGATGAGATCTTGCTTAGGACACCTTCCATTTTTCTGCCTTTCACATTTATTTTTGGAATTCCCAGGATTCCTTTCCAGCTCGATTCAAGGCCATTCATTTCATTCACCAGCCTTGGTATTTCACCACCACCTACAATGTTGTCAAACCATTCCTGAAGAACAAGCTTCTGGAAAGGGTGAGTTGTACTACCGAAGATGTTGTGGTTTGCTGCCGGCAGCCGGTGCAATGGCAGCGGAATCGGGCAGTGGGGAAGAACGAAGACCAGTCAGGGAGTCTGGAGAGGACTCGGATGAGGGTCCTGAATCCATGCAGAGATGGGGCCAGGACCATCTGGGAGTGGGGTGCTGCCTCCGGAGCCTCCGGAGTCTGGCAGCAGCAAGGCAGAGGACGCAGGGGAGCCTGTTCTCAGTGCACATGTGTGCAGGGGCTGCTAGAAGGCAAGAGCAGCTGAAACAAAAGGGCAATTTGGGATTAAGGTTTGGAGGTGATTGCCCCTCCCATAAGGGATAAAAGTCAGGCCAAGATGATGAAACCTTTGCAGGAAGCAAAGTAATTTGATCCGTTCCAAGTCATCCCTGAAACACTTGGTATTTTGGCTAGGTTTTTTTGTACTTCGGTTGGTTTCTTTTCTAGCTAATTTGATACTTCTGTTTTTGGCAGCACTTCATAGAACTTAAAGGTGTGTGCTTATCTTGGAGGATTGTTTGAGTTTAATTTCGGCTGGGAATGAAAACAATTCCCAGCATTGCAATAAAATAGGTTTTGTTTTTAAAATAAGTTTGTGACTAATTATGGTTTACGAAGCCTGGGTCAAAACAGAAGACTGCACAATAGCACAGGTAGCCTTCAGCTTATCACCACAATTCGGACCAGAATTTCCATTGCTAAGTCAGTTTTTTTTTTTAAAAAAAAAAGCAGAATAAGCTGCTCCAAGAAAACCCCAGCTTTCTCCTGCTCACATCTTCCCCCTTTCTTTCCTTACTCAGGTCTTTGTGCATGGGGATGAACTTGCCACCTTCTTTCAAGAGATAGATGCTGACATCTTGCCAGCCGACTTTGGAGGCAACCTGCCCCGATACAACGGCAAAATGGTCGCCGAGAAGCTTTTCGGGGTCTGGATGGACACAGAAGACACAACACTCTAAAAATGAACAGCCTGAGATGGAAGATCAGCCTCAGCCTTCCTTTGAAATGCAGTGCAGGCAGTTCTCAACGTAGAACCCAGATTAGGACCAGAATTTAAGACAGGTGTTGTTAAGTGAGCACCAGATGATTTTAGAACCTTTTTTTTTTGCTACGGTTGTTCAGTTCTCCCATCGACTTTGCTAGTGAGAAGCCAGCTCAGAATATTGTATATGGTGATCACATGCAACCACTACAAACACAGCTAGTGGCCTACATTTTGATTGTGCGACCATGGTGGAGGGGGATGCTGCGACAGTCATAAGTGGAGGACCAGTCAAAAGTCACTTTTCCCCCCAGTGATGTAACTTCAAACAGTCACTAAATGAATTGTTGTATCTTGATTGATGACCTGGATTGATGGGCTATACAGATTGTGATCATAAGCTCTATCTCTTTCATTCTTCATTTTTCACCCTCTCAGCCATCAAAGGCAGAGTCCTCCACTCCAAAAACAGGTGCTGGGATCCTAGCTCAGCTTTCCCTAGTGAGAAGAAAGCAAACAGAAGAAGACCACAGAACACCATGTTGGGGGTCTACAAAGAAGGCACTATGGCTGGTTTGGTTCACTTTAAGCCCAACCACTGGTGTATGCAATAGACCAGTTTAGAACTGGCCTTATTAGGATTGGGACATTGGAAACCGGCAAATACCACCTCTGACTGGCCCCGCCCCCATCTATTCTCTGCCTCCCATTGAGTCCCAGCTGATCGGCTGGGTCTTCTTTGGTTGCCCTGCACAGGAGAATGGAGCTGGAAAGCAGGTTAGTGGGGTGGGGAGGGAATGGGATTTTGCAGTAACCTTCCTCTGGCATGCCCACCAAGCCACACCCACCAAGCCACATCACGCCCAAGCCACGCTCACAGAACTGTTAGTAAAAAAAAATTGAATACAACCACTGGTGTGGAATGGGCAGGCAGCCTCTGAAATAGAGTAGGAAGTCACTGCAGAAACCTGCAGGCCAGATTAAATATTCCCTCCTCACTCCCCAGTATTTTTTCAGTATAAATCTGAGCTTTGTAGCCAACAGAAATGGTTCCAATAGCGTGCATGCTCTTGGCTTAAGTTGCTTTAGTAAACTAAATGCGCCAATCATGAAGATTGTTTGTATGCTCTGTGCTTTAAAATACCAACGTACTTTAAGCAATTAGGCAGGGCAAATCAGAGACAGATGTATTTTTGTCTTCTTTTGCTTACTTTATTGGGTTCCAGCTCATCCCCGGGGGAAGAGCCTTACCCCAGAGACAAGAGCCCTGCCTTTGCATTATGGGAGGTCCCAGGCTCTGCTTTCTACTTCTTCCCATATAGCTGGGAAAAAACCCTCCTGCTTGCGTAAGTCAAGCATCGTCTCGCAATTTTTCACAACAGCCTGTGCATTTTTCTTCCCTGGAATGACCATCATCTCATGCCTGCCTGAAGTCTCACAAGATTCGAACCTCCTCCTCCTGAAAAGGTGGCAAACTCTCAGTTAAGAACAATTGTGAGACTTTGCAGCCCCTTCAAAAATACTTTTTGTAAGATCACCTTAATTCGATGGAAGCTTCGATGGATGCTGAAGGTGTTTTGACAATTGCCAAGTACCACCCTGGATTTGTCCACTTATCACAACATGTAACTCTGGTTCTTACTGTTAGTCCAGCGTCTGTCTAAACACTGAGCCAAAATTATATTACATGTCCCCCTTATGTCCCTAAGACACTGCAACCATCATACATAAATGCATGCCAGTTGCCGAGCGCCTGAATTTTGAATGTGTGATCAAATGGGTTGCTGCCAAAGTTGCAAGTGCAAGAGTTGATTGTAAGTCACTTTTTTCAGTGCCTTTTGTAACTTTGCTCACTCAATAAATGATTGTGAGTTGATGATCACTTCTTCTATATAGCAAGAGCAATAAGATTTATATGCTGCTTCGCAGTGCTTTACAGCCCTCTCTAAGCAGTTTACAGAGTCAGCATATCAGCCCTAGTAATCAGGCTCATTTTACCAACCTCGGAAGGATGGAAGGCTGAGTCAACCTTGAGCTCTGGTGAGAATCAAACTGCTGGCAGTCGGCAGAATTCGCCTGCAATACTGCTGCATTCTAACCACTGCGCCACCACACCTCATATCTGGCCTCTCATTTGTGTTCCCTGCTCATCCCTCAAGATGATCCTACAGCAGATGGATTACAGGCCAGGCTGTGGTTTTTTGTTTTTGTTTTGTTAGTGTCAGTCACATGCATATGAAGATGGTTATGAAATCTGGCCATCTCACATAGCAGGAAACATTCTGCTTCTCCTCTTGTCAGATGCTCAGTTTTAAAAACAATTTCCCCAAGTGCAAAATCTGAACCAGGAGCTGAGAGAGAGAGACGCAATGTTATCCTGCTTATCCACATATCCTCTGTTTGGGGCGATACCCCCCTGTGGTTTATGAAGGACATAAACGGAAAGCAAGAATGCTCTCCAAAGAGACGTCCTTTCTGTTCTCCTTCTTACCCCATGAAATCAGATCCGTATTGGGCACCCTCTCTTTCCCTATCCTGCTCCACCTGGCTTCAATGCTAGGCTTGTTTGATTGGTGGAACAGGCCAACAGGGATAACTCCAAAATAGAAACTGTTGGAAGAAACGTACAAGAGGGTCATTCATGAGAAGACTGGCGCTGACTCAAGCTAAACAGGACGTAAGCTGTGAGGCTGCAGACAGAAGTCAGGGAGCTTTCTGCCCACCTCCGTAGCATAAATTTGCTCTTTGGGAGATATTGAGAACCTGAACAGAAGGGGAGAGATGAGATCAGATGTTCCTTTGCCATCTCTCAGACATTAATTCCCCCAGGAGTCAGGCAAGACTGAGACCTCCATATCTCAAAGTTAGCAGATAGCTGGAAAGAGCTGAATTTCTTAGTTTTTTCAGATTATAGTTACTCCAAACCCAGACAGGGCTTGATGATCTTCCCCAACTCCCAGAAAATTTGAATATTCATTTTTCCCCCTGCGAACTGGGAGAGGAAATTAAACAGATCCCTTGCAGCCTAGCAACATGATGTACTTATTTAATCAGGCATTTATAGAGTCGAAGTCTTCTGAACGCTGCCACTGTGTTTGTTGCATGTAGAAGAGAAATTGTTTTTCAAAAATCACCTTTGTTATATACAACTTTGCTCACATTCTATTCCCCTCAAATTATTTTTCTTCTGTTTACTGATATTTCCTAAACTCCCATGATATTTTCAAGGTTTCCTACTACTTGTTAGACTATTATTACTAATCCTATTCTTTCTTTTTACATTGAGCATTATGGTTGATTGTCTCTTTATGGCATACAAGCTTGTTAGCCAAAATGCCACTAACACAAAAAAATACTAATCTGTTTGTAAGTACTTAGCTGATTTTATGATAAATCTGGCCTAGGAACTATCTGCAATAAGTGCTGTGCTATGTTATTTCACTTCATGCTTCCTTAACTGGGAAACATACAAAAAGTTAAATTACCCTGCAACATTTCCAGTCGATTATAAACGGCGAGCTAAATTAAATGCGTAAAATAGCAAATTATGTATTTTCAAGATCATCCCTCTCAGCATTCAACGTTTGTCAACCTTAAAATGGAAGCATCCATTGGTTCCCATTCTCCAGAGGTTTATGGTATTCTAATTTCAGACACAATAAACAATAAACAATTTCAGGTTAAAGTATGTGTTTGTTCAATATGCATGTTGAATAGAGACTGATTGTTTGCAGTAGTTAAGTGTCCCTATCTGAAATAGCAGCAATGCATTTGGCTCTGCTGTCCAGTAACAATTCTGCATTTGTTTGTTTTTGGTAGTTTGACCTCTGCGGAAAAATAAGACATACAGGAAATCTAAATTCCAAAGCTTCTTATTCTTGTTCATGTAAAGATAAATGATGAGACACCCTCCTCATGGCAAACTCAGTTAATGTCTTTATTTTTTTTTTAAGCAAAGAAATTCCATTGAATCAAATAACAAAATTATTGTTCTGCAATAGCCTTGATTGATCACACACAGAACAAAAACAAAACAAAAAAAAAAGAAATATATCAAGGACACACTTTACTAAACTGGAAAAATTAACAGATTTAGAAAAAAAATTGCATTGCTAGTTGCAAAATGTTATCCTGCAGACAACTGGTTCAAACAATGAAACTGGTAGTGAGGATCACACACAAAAATTCCCCAGGGCAGCATTTTTATTTCCATAAGGAATTTGGGATTGTGGAAGGGGTTCCTAAAATAGGTCTCGGAATCCAAAATTGCCGATAAAATAAAATAAAGCAGAATTATGTCCAACAGCTTTTTTTAAAAAAGTCAAAAACGCTCAACTTACTCCAATAAGGCAGCTGCAGTGACACAAATGAAAAAGAGCACAGGTACAGGTCTAGTTTCCTGAGGTGTTGGGTCCCTCTATTAGGACATGTTCAAGAGGAAAAGAAGGAAAAAAAGAGTGTAATAAATCAGAATTTCCCCTTTAAAAATTGTGCTTTTTTTTTTTAAATCAGAAGATTTCGCCTACATGGATTTGCTATCAAACGCAACCCATTCTAAACAGCTTGGAATGACATTAGCTTGGAAGGTCATAAAAATAAAGTATGGATACAACCTGTTAGTGGGTTAATTTCTCATATGTTTCAGGCAATGTTATGACTTTCTACTCTTGATATGAAACTGGACCGCTCTGGATAATGGCACAATTTCTTTGTACAAATCCAGATGTTACTGGTTACAACATCAAAAACAAAATAAACGCCGCGCCCTCAAATACAAGGTTTTTGCCCGCAGTTCAGGAATCCTGATGGGGGGAAATAGTTGTGTTCCACAAAGACTGGAATCAAGTAAAGCTGCTGGGACTTTGGTGGTCCTAAGACCTGAGGATTTGAAAGGAAATAAAAATACATATCCTCTGGTAGACAAAAGAGAAAAAGGAAGGGGAATGGCAATTCTCTGCTCCAGTTTAGCCAAATGCTGCCCGTGTATGCTTGTGCCCTTGAATGAAACCAGCGGAAAGAACAGAACATTTAAAATGGAATACACACAGTTCTCTAAGGAGATTCTTCCCCAGATCCCCAGTTGATTTATT